AGAGAGAGAGAGAGAGAGAGGCGGCAGCAATGTTCATGTTATTTTGAAGGACATGCAGTAACAGAATGACATCTTAAACTTTCCCACATGCTGTCAGTTTAATGCGGTGGCTGTGGGTGGTTGGACGGGTACCAATACACAAAATATGACCATTTTTTAAAATTAAATTCATGAATTTTATCTAGGGATTCAAATACAGCCAACATCACTCACTTTCCATGTGTTGACTTGATTGAATTTCTCATCAGTCAGCTGCAGTGTGTGCTTGCACTGATACTGTTCTACTGTTTTTATAATCCCAAGAGGATGGAAGCTCACACAAAACTCTTCTCTTCTGTTCTACACAGGAGAATCCCACCGCAAGACGACTAATGTAAACTTGTTTCTGGTCAAGATTTTGTGCTTACGGTTACACCTAAAGAAAGAGAAAATGAGCAGATGGATAGAGAAAAATACTTAGCTTAAAGAAGTGAAATCTGTTCACCAAAACTAGACAAGGCTCGTCAGCGGCTTCCCTGGCAACGTCCATGAGTGTGTAGGATGCTGTTTTAAGTACAAGTCGTTCCACAGCGCCCAACATGAACCCAACAAATGTTTCATTTCACCTTTTCCTCTACATACTGTACATAGCCAAATATCTACCAGGCAACGCATTAAAGTCTATCTTTTAAAGTCGTCCAATTTCACTATTATCTTGTGCATTGTGCTGGGTGAATACAATATTGCAAGTTGTATTGTTAATAGTCAAACTCTTTCAGAAATGTTCTGGACATTACAAACATTGTAAAAGAACACGCTGATGACGCTGAGGTAACTAGATTGTAATTATAAAACCATCAAAAATGTAATTGAATGCTAAGTTAAATGTGTCTTGTCAGCATCTGTCAGCCTTAAAAGTGGTTTGAGGATCAATACTTTTATCTTTTTAAAGCAACAAGACAACACAAAGAGACGAGAGAGGCTCAACAGTGCCTCTATTCTAGCCACAATATTTTTATTTATTTTTTTAAATTTTTGCAAAAATGACCACATAATGGAAACAAAAGCTCTGTGAAAACAGTATTTGTGCTGCCATTCAGAAATATCCATCCACCTATCCCCTTTACAAAGTTACAGATTTAACTTAATGGCCTCATACTGAACCTGTACCTGACTGTCATAACCACATGAAACTTGAGCACAGAAAAAAGGTTTAGAGAGCACAAAGTGGTGTGTCTGGGGAGTAAAATTGCTCGCTCCTTTATGGTGTGTGTGTGTGTGTGTGTGTGTATGTGTGTTTCAGTATGGATTTTTTTTTTTTTTTCAAGCAAGCTACAACACAGCTCGTGAAGATAAATTTCCTTCTTGTGTGAGAACTGTCGGTGCGCTCGCTGAAAGTACCCACGCATGCTCGGGTGCGTCTCTGTGCCTCGTGTGGGCGGTCCTTTCTTACTTAATCTCATGAGCTTTGTCATGAAACTGCCATCACAGAAGAGTGTTATTCATTGAACGTTTCCCCTCATGCACATGAGAAAGATGATGTGATGAGGTCAGTGGTGTCAGACAAAATGTCTCGTGTTCGTGTGTGCGTCGGTGGGTACCTGCCACTCTGAGAAGTGAGGCCAGATTCAGCAGAGTAGTGGACTGCTTGTAGGCCGTGGAGCAGTAGGCGATGCACTCCTCTATGAGAGACAGACGGTCTGATCGCAGACGCACTGGGAGGGAGAGAAAGAAGGCAGAGGGGGAGGGTTGTCAGATATGTTCTTTTTTTTTAATTACTAATTACTGTATTCAATCTGGAGAAGTTGCAGCTGATGATACAAATGATCTGGTGCAAGTGATGGATGCAGCTGCTGCCATGATGTCTGCAAAATAATGCCGCTGTGTAATAAAGCCCAACCCTAACGACATATTGGCCGATACTGATGATGATAAGTGCTCTTTCTTGAATAATCACATAACATAAAACAATTGGCAAAATTCCATCAAATCAAATCAATGTTATGTAGAATACTTTATATTTGAACAATTACAGCAAATACAAGCAGACACATTGTTGAGTGGTAAACTACAATTTGATTATTATAGAGGAGAAAATAAAGTTGCAAAGATCAGCAATCAGCAATTAATCAATCATGTCAATTATTCTGCAACAATTTTGATACATTGATTAGTCATTCAAGCAATTTCTTAAGCAAAAATAGCNNTTGTAAATTGAATATCTTTGGGTATTTGACTGTTGGTCGGCCAAAATGAGACAGACTTGGAAACCAAGAAACTTTCCTTTCTTCCTCATTTGCTGACATTTAAAGAACCAATTGCTTGAGAAAATGATAATAAGATTAAATGATAATAATCTTCAGTAGTAGCCCTATAAGAAGAAAAAACATATACACACTATACACCGAAAATATATCAATGTAGTATTACTCTCCATGGAAACAATGTCATAATCGTGTCAACCATAGTCGTGAGTTACCTGTAAAAAGTACCACAATTTGTCTTATAAATCCATGACTTGTTGTTTGAGTCTGAAACTCTCACAGTGTACCCCACAGTGTTAATATGACTCCATGCACATTTCTTTTTACATATGTTACATTTATATACTAGTGCAGGACCACAATTCTCGTAGATCAGTGCTCATTGTTTGACTACATGCATTTCATTTGGAGTTCAAGATACAGAAACTCTTAAAAACCCATTTCAATATTTTTCTACACTTGCACTGAAAGCCTGAGAAATACCATGTTTAATGCCCCCCCCCCCCACGGGCCTCTGTGTTTTTTTGCACCCTGCTAAGTACCTTTATGGCTTGGCATAACTTTGGGCGAGGCCTGGAGGGAATTTCTGGGGAGGGTGGTTTGTATGAAGCGTCGCCTAAGGCGCTGTAGGAGGGCTGCAGGAGACAGCCTAAGATGGATTACATATGCTCAAATCCTTTCACTTCATACTTGTGCATGTTTATCTCAGACTGTGCAAACTTACAGGAACAGGGCTTTTACTTTGGTGAAAAAGAAAAATAATGTGTATCTTGGTGTGTGGACAGTGTGTGTGTCCTTGAGTCAGTACAACAAAAAAAAGTGCACTGCAGGCAATACAGAGCCATGGAGCCAGGCTGGCCCTGAGCACTGAAAATAGGCTTTAGATAATAATCACTAATATAACACAACTATAACACAACACAAAAAGTAATAATTGGAGAGCTTTTCCTTTCCCTACACCCCCTTTCTTACAGTCTCTCTTTCTGTTTCTTTCCTCTGTCACATTTTTCTTTCATTCCTTCCTTCGCATACTTGCTTGCAAAACTAGCTCCTGTTCTCACTTTGTTTCGCAGGTAAGAATAAGTGGGCAGCGAAAAACTAACATAGGGTAAACAGCAGGGAGTAAGAGTAAAAGGGCAAAGAAAGAGTGGAAAAAAGAAAAACTAGGAGATAAGTGATGCAAAGGGGGAAAGGAGAGAGAGAGAGGAGAAGAGAGAGAGAGAGAGAGAGAGAGGGAGAGAAAGGTGGCAGTTTATTGCTCGCTCTGTCACACTGGCTTTATGCTGGCAGCTCAGTTTGATGAGGGCAAAGGAGGGAGGGGGGAGAAAGCTGAGGCCTCGGAGGCAAACAACACCTCGGTTCAGAGGTGAGGCGATGAGGGGCCAAGGTGGTTCATTCTAGCTGCACAGTTTCCTTTAACAGAGAGCCATGCCTGGAAACTGCTGCGGTAGGGTAGCGATGTGGAGCCAGAAAAGAGAGAAAGAAAGAGCGTGGAAGTGAATACTGATTGGTCAGGTTTACAGATGGAGCAAAAATATAAAAAGGATATGTGTGTGTGTGTGGTGTGTGTTTGTGTGAGAGCACACACACAGAGACTAAACACTTCAATCCTAATTAGGCCATCAGGCAGATGTTGTTTGCTCAACAGTTGATCCATAAATAACCATATATTTAGATATAGTGGCAAGAAGAAGTGACATATGGAGGGATGGAGGAACTGACAGCAGAGAGGGAGACAGATTGCGTGGTACAGGGGTGAAGGAGGTGGGGGACGGGTCCTTGCATCGTCTACATGTCTACTGGAATGAATGACAACATAAGCACACATCATCTTCCCAGACAAAGACATAACGCATTTTGTCGTACCTTGCAGCGGCAGGATACTGACACTGAAGTCTTCCAACTGGCTGAGGGCGTTGATGAGGTCCAGTTCATCCTGGATGGCCAGAGGACAGTCTGTGATCAGCTGGAGACACGTCCTGACAAAGACAGCAACCAGTTAAAACGGGGACACGCTACCACCGACAGCTATAATAATCTGTCCCACAGGTAACCAATCAGATGACCTTGTGTTATCCAGAAGACGATGTCTGATTTTTAGCTACACACTAGCCATGTAACTCATATGCAGAGAAAGAGACGGTTAGCCTTAAAGCTACAGTTCAACATTTTGGGAAATTCACGTATTCGCCTTGTGGGGGAGAGTTAGCAGAGGCAGACTGATTGCACTCTCATGCCTGTCTTTTAGATATAGGCTTACAGGCAGTAGTCAGTTAGCTTAGCTTAGCACAAAGACTGGAAAACAAGGGTAAAGCCAACTTGATCTGGCTGCCTGTCGCAAAAGTGACAAAAGGTAACAAAATCTGTGGCCTCGCGGCACCCCTCTGAAGGCTCCCACTAATTGTTCTTATACCGAGCTCGTTTAATTTAATGTTTAATTTGTAGGAGAATGTGTAACCACGTCAGTTTGCCTTTTTTGGGGGTAAAAGTTGGTTAAATTAAAGTTTGTGAAGTTTGAACATCGTGATCAGAAACATGGTGAGACAACTCAAAATGGATTTATTTACAAAGTCTAGACTAATTTGACGGATATACAACAGGGGAGTTTTTTTCTCACAACACAATCCACACTCATTAGCCTTAATAGGATTATGTAGCACATCACTTAGCATATGTAACAGCACACTGAATGTGTGCCTGTTTCATTTTCTTGTTTTTTCATCCAAATATGGAAAAAAAAACCGGAATGATTAATTTACAAATAAATAAATCCCACAAAAAACAACAGCTTAGAGAGGAGCTCTGACGTCAGTTAAGTGGAGAGGAGTAAACTTGTCCTTGGGGTTCTTTAACCCTCACAGTGTGTGAATGAAGACATCTAACAGAGAAGAACAGGCGTCTCAGAATCCCTATCAGTGTAATGAAAGTAGTCCAAAACATAACATTTTTAAAACTGTTGACTTGATATTGCTAACAGACTACCAGTACACACTCTCTGCAAAACACTCACACACAACTTCTCACTCTTTGAGTATGGCTGGTGTTCTCTTGCCAGGAACAAGAGGTTTGTCCTGGCAAATGAGAGCAGAGGAAAGGGCTGTGGATGGGCGAATGAGAGACAGAAAGAGGGTGCGTTGATTATGTACTCGTGCTGTGAAGTGTCTGCAGGCGTGTGTGTGTTTGTGCATGGAGACTGCCTTAGAAAAGACGATGGCAGTCACGACGTGCTTTGCAGCGTGTGCTCTGTAATTTGCAGATAACTACTTCCTGTTAGACAGACAACACAAGTTAACTTTTGTATTGCAGTTATCAACAGAACGCGATATTAGAGACCTTGTCCTTGTTCTGACCAACCCAAGCTGTGCACCAGCACATTGAGCAGCAGCGCGCTGACGCAATCATCCGCTCTTTTTTTCTCCCTCTCCTTAATTTTTGTGACATTTCCGCTTCAGTTCTTTCCTACTCATACAAGGTCTTGCAAGGCGAGCCTTCTCAAATACAAGAGAGAAGACCAGCAACAAGATGAATCATCCATTTTGGACTCATTTCTCTTCCTTTCCATATTTTTTCTGCATAATGGTTGCTGAAATATGTGCATCTTTTTCACAAGAGTGAGACGTTTCGCCAACTTTTACATCCATCGAGAACAGTTGTTTTTACATGCATCTAGAGTTAGTGTTGACTCTGGCCTGGAGTTTAAACAACAAAGATAAAGAGGCACAAAATTGAAAAGCAATAACACATTTCTTCAAATGTAAACAAGTTCT